TAATTCTAAAAGATTGTTTCTGTAATTTTAGATGACCTGTGATCCTGTAAGTTTGGAATTAATTAGTTAGACTGACCCATGTTTGGTCGAGCGTGTGTATCGAAGGGACCTCGCAATATCTGGGATATTTTAGGTCTATTTCCATATAGTTGTAGGAAGTGGAGACGGGTTGTCCATCTTTGTATATAGTCAACGGTTTAAACCTGTGAGTCCAGCAGAGTCTCACAGCTTCTGGGAAACATCACCACTGTGCAACAAACTACTTCACGTATTGTTTGTCCGTGTTCATGTTTTTGTATTGTTTGATGAATGAGACTCACAGCTAATTCAAACCAGAAGCCACTACACAAACAAACCTTAATGTGGTTAGGACAGAAGCATCCTACATCCTCACTAACACACGTACGCTACACATACAGTAAATGAAAATGAAAAGAGTCACATTAGCTTGAGCAGGGCACTAAGGGAGTATAAATGAATAGCATTATGAAAAGAGAATTGTCAATTGACAACAAGGATTAGTTGGCATGAGCTGTTTTGTTTTTCTGTGGTGCACAAAACATTCTCATCATGGGAGAGTCTGAACAAAGGTCAGGTGATTTTTTTTTTTTATATATATAACTAACAGACCATTTGGACACTAAGGACCATAATGAGAATTATCAGCATCTGCATTCAGATTAGTCATGTATATCTAATTCCTACATGTGGAGTCTTCATCATTCATTTTATTTATCTATACTTAGGACTGTGCCTTGCATGGTATTCTACTAATTAGGTTTAAATGTTTGAGTGATGTGCACTGGCAGCTCCGCTCGGATCCACTGCTCAGTTAATCAGTGCTGTGAACGCAGGCACAGACGCAGCGTGATAAGATATAAAAACTAATTCACTAGTCCAGGAGACTTATGTACAATTTTACACTGTGAGAAGATGGAGCTCAGGTTGATCACTTTAAATTGCACTACAGCTCTGTCCATTTATTATCAGAACATTGAGCATTTTCAATTCCAAGCACAAGCTCCTTTGTTTACCCTTTTTTAGATTGTGCTGTTTGTTTTATTTAAATATGAATTTCACTTTCATCCTTGGCAATCTAGATTTAAGAACTCACTTGTGTGCTTTGGACATGTTTGCATTTATCTCATGCAAAAGAGGATGAACGAAATTACAATCCCATCATCGTCATGCTGAGTATTCACTCAAACAAAGGGGACATCTCTAAATTTGGCCCTGAGCGGAGCTGGAGCCTCCTCTGCCACACCATGTGTATATTACAGTTGGCAAATCATTTCAAGGTTATCGAGGAGACAGTGACGGCCCTTATCTTGGACTTCATTTCCTTTCTATTATAGGATATGGCAGGGAGCATGTCCCACACTGCAAAGCGGTTCTGTAGCAATGTGCTGTGGTGCTGTAACATCACTTCCCATCTGGTCAACACTTCCCCTCCACTCTGAGCAAAATGTGATCGAAGGGACCGGGACAGAGACGGAGCGAGGAGTGTTTGGTAAAAAGGGATTGGAGAGAGGTGACAGCAGTGAGAGAGGAAAGGCAATACAACATCTAAAAAAGCAAAAACATAAGAGGGGGAGCTGGCAAAGGTAGTAATGCAAAGCCTTTGGAGTCGGAGCATAGACATTGGGGAAATCAGAAAAACTCAGAGCCTGTTTGTGTAGTGGGCTTTTGTGTGCATTTGTATTTGCTGTGCTCTTACAAGCACAATTCTCTCCAAACAAAACACAAAATAAACCCTAAAATAAACACAGACTGTTTGCTATTTCCCAGAGTACTTGTCATAATCGAAAGGTAGAGACCTGCTGGGATCTGTGTGAATAACGTTGCAATCAGTGGGCTGTGGCTGCTTAGAACCTTAGGTGAAACTATCCCACCCTGGTGTTGTTGATATTAAATCTTTTCCAAGGAAAACAATTATAAAATTGCATACATCTTATTAGAGAAGGCAACTCTCTTGAATGTTGAATGCAAATACAATATCCAACAATACTGCAATATAGCTAAAATGTAGAATAGTTCAAAACCCCGTCAAAAAAAATTTGAATTAAATCGAATTATTATATATAGAATTAAAAGCAAACAGGTTGAACAGACTAAACTGAAAAATCACAGTTGCAGCATTGGTCAGGATGTACAGGAAGACCAATAACACAAGGTACACTGGTCATCCTCAAAAGATAATGTCACACACAGCAGGTTGATGCTTTTGACTGAGCGAAATGATGCCCAATTCATGAGAGGGACATTTGAGAAAAAAGCCATAACTCAAAAAAAATTATAAAACTGCAAGATGAAGCTTGAACATGAAAATAAGCCGGATGAATATTGGCAGGACATTCTTTGCTCAGATTAACCCAAAATAAATTTGTTTGGATCAGATGGGGGACAGCATGTTTGTTGTGGACCTGGCCAGGAACAGTGAGTGTCCTGATATGACAGGGCTGCATGAGTGTAAAAGAGTGTAAAAACAGGTTTGCATAACCAAATACTGGTGAAGACATGACTCAAGAAGCTTGGTAGGAGAGGAAAACAAGTTCCATGATCCCAAAAACACTGCCTAAGAAAAGATTAAAAATATAACCTTCATGTCCCAAGTTTGCTTCTTTGGATCATTTTAAAGCAGAAGGTAGAGCATCACAACCTCTCCAGCAAACAGCAGCTGGCAGAACATCTTTCCACAGGCTTTAGACCATTAGCCTCAATGTACAGGAAGAAGTAGAGCCAGACATACAAAATCCATCCATCTATCCATCATCTATAGTGCTTATCCTTTTGAGGGTTGAAGCAGGGTAAAATATCCAAAACATTTAAATTATAGAATCTCACTCATGAAGATTTTACTGACTTGTTGCTCCTGGCTCTTGAATATTGACCTTTCATCATAGTTTAATCAGTAAAAACATTTCTGTCCATCAAATTAATCCAACTAAAAGAAAGACACAAAATGATATTTACTTAACCCTGAACACGGGTGTTCTCTCGTGCTCCTGTACTCTCTATGTCTGGAATGTATCCAGGTAAAACCTGATACTACATGGGAGCGTTTCAGTACATTCTGAAACCCAGTTCTCTACTGCACCTACGAAAGTAGCCCTGTGACAGACAGGTGACCTGTCAGACCTCCCACCTGATGTTAGCTGGGATTGGCACTAGCCCTTCCGTGACCCTCAAATGATATATAGAGGTGGTGGATGGATGGATCTACTATAGCCTTGGCACTTTAAAATAATTGTGTCCTCATAATGACTGAAAGAGTCCTTTCTCAATAAGTTGATATCTTGAGATGCAACAGGTCATTGATAAGACAAGTGTAGGACTATTTTATTTGGGTTGTGCCCACAAAGGGGCAAGAAATCCAAAACAAGCTCACAGATTATTGCATTATAAATCTGTTATAGCACAGTTGTCTACTTGGACACAAAAACATCACAAGTTCATCATCCAATTGGAATCATGTTTGTTTTTTGTTAATTTAAGAGGAGCTCATTATTCTCTTTCCTTTTACCTCCAGTTACGTCTCTGCCAACCCCAGAAAAAGCAAAATCTGACTTGCAATTTAATTTATTTCTTGTTTTTGGTGTTCAGTCAGTATGGTGTAGTGTATTTATCTATGATATTATGGTTTGCATAGTTTTTTTTGTGATCTAAATAGCTGCAGGAAGCAGAAGTAACTTTATTGTAAGTATTAAAGCAAAATGGAAAAAAGCTAAAAGAGCAGATGAACAGCTGAAATGTTGGCTGACAAATCTGTCACTGTACACAAATACATTTCCTTATCTGTTGGCATGATTTACTATGAAATTTGTCTTCCCTTTGTTGATTTTATTTCAGATTACATCAATGCCAAATTACATCTCAAAACACATCCGCCTCATCCAAATTTGCCAAGGAAATCTTGGTCATAGCCGAGCTGGAATGAGCATTCAGCAACTTGACTACTGGAAGTCTCAGTGTCTGTATGCCATTCAGTTGTAATTTTTTATCATGCAGAAATATATAAATTTTTTCCATTAAATACATTTACAGTTATTTAAGTAGAGATGGAGAAGGAAGGCAGCCCCTGTTTTATGTTATCTACATGGCAATCTGGGATTTTAGAGCCCGAGTGGAAACATTGTAATGTTCAAACATCAAACTGTCTTTGTTTTATAGAAGTGTTGATGTGAAATGTCTGCAAACTGGACACTTACTGTAAACAGTGCTGCAACAGCACGATAGTGTGGATATCAGCAGCCAAAAGGTAGCAAATCTAAAATAACAACACACATTTTAATGATGCATTCAAACATACAGTATATTGTGTGTGAGTGTGTGTATGGTGAGCAGCAGCATATTTACTCTCTGGTCAGGGAAGCAGGTAATCACAGTGTTTTCATGTGTGTCATGACTTGTATGTAAAAGTGAAGGGATGGACAAGAGACAGGGGGAGGGTAGAGAGAGAGAGAGGGAGGCGGAGAGAGAGCGAGTGATTGTTGATGAGCTCGGAGCCAAAGAGAAATCAGTACAATTTGCTTAATAAAATTAGGGACAGTTGAACTACACAAAGCCAGCCGCTGGGTGAGGGAGGACAGCATTCACCGCTGGACTGCAGCTTGCCTCAACACAACTTGACCTGAGTGTGTTGTTGTCTCTCGACCCTCAACACACCTGCTGGCTTTAAAGTCTACACATAGAGCCTTCCTCTGCACTCTCAGTTGAGGCACCACCTGGCACCTGAGAATCTTGGGTGGGCTCAAAGGGTGGGCCATGCATCACCAGGCTAAAGAAGAAAGCAATCCTCCCAAAATGGAAAACAACGAGGAAGCTGAGATGACAGCTTCTGCTGAAGCTCTGGACAGTCCCCCCTCTGAAACTATAGGAGCTCAGTCAGAGCAGGCCTGCGCCACCCTTACCCCCGACCCCCGCCGCAGATGTGGTTTTTTCTGTCAGCCGTGGTGTCTGCTCCTTGCATTGATCCTGCTCCTGCTTTCTCTCTTTGGCAGCTGGGCAGTGGTCCACCTCACCCTGGGCACACATGGTGGATCGCCTTTTCGGGTCTCAGCCAGCTACGATCAACGGATCCCGCAGGACGACACGGCCACCATCGAGCCCCACTTCACCACCAACTGCACCATGGGTAAGCTGACACTTTTGTGTGAATGTGGCTAATTTTGTGAAATATATGATTTTGTATGAATGTGTAAAAAGGGATGTTTAAAAGTTGTTTGCTGAAGATAAACAAAAAGGATTTATCCAGTGCAAATATTCTCTGATCACACCTGTTGCATGGGTTTATGTTTGTCATGTATTTATAAAGCTTTTCTCACCTTGATGACCACTCAAAGTGCTTTACAGTTCAGATTTCATTCACATATTCATACACACATTACTCACACACTGCTCTCACAGCCGTCAGCCAGAAGCTTTGTGCTTCAGTCTCAGCACGTGTAATGGGGTAGACAGGGATCAAAAGGCTGACCCTAGTGGGCAACCCTCCCTCACTACTGAGCCAAATCTGCTCCGTTCAGTGTGAGAGAGAAAACATGCTCATAATTCATATAATTAACATGCAGTGCATTCTTAACATCTGTCTTTTGAGTACATCTGTCATGACATATGCAATCGTCAGAATTCAAAATTTTTGCTCATTCACTAATTTGCATTTTTCCTAATGTAGACACATTTTATATTTGATCAAATTTGAGTTAAACAAGTCTAAAAAAAGGATTTATACAAATATTATTTGATCCTCCAAAACCATTGCATGGGTTTATATTTTTCATATATTTATAAACTGAGCATCGCACCACAGCCAGCACTGACCTTTTTTCAAAAATTTGACAATAATTGTTTGTGATGTGAGGCTCTACTTTATCTGGTTTATCTAATGAATTACTTGATCTTACATAAAGTAGTGTAAACAAGTACAAACTGAGATATTATGTGATAACTCCTGGGAGCCTTCGTAAGTTTTTAGTAGTTGTGTGTGTGTGTGTGTGTGTGTGTGTGAGTGAGTGTTTCCTGTCACAGTCTCTGGATATAATGTGTGCAGACTAAATGTGTCTCACATGTCTGCAGAGCAGCCGAGTTGCCAAAGCAGTTTAAACATGTCGAACTGGAAGTGGCTCAGCTGCATTCAGTGATTTTTTAACTTCATTACACCATGTTGCGGAGTGAATGAATGAAATGCGTAGACTGCTCGAGACTGAAATAATATCCTTCTCTGTCAACCTGGAAAGCTGCTGAAATTGGATTAAAATAACTGATTCAATTTCCTCCTGCGCAACATGCAGAAGCACAGCACCCTTTGCTTACACATTTCAAGTGTGTGTTTCCAAGGAAATGTGGACAAAAGCTTTGTTTCCTCTAAGACAGATGTGTGGTGGGCAGAGGGGGACGCAATGTCACACCAAGCATAAGATGTTTTAATGGAACAGACTGCAGTTTTGTACATGTATGAAATCATACAGATGTATTAAATAGACGATATCATCGTCATCTTTGTCAAAAATGCGACATGATGAAAAACGGATGATCTTGTGAGTGAGTTAATTTCATGCTTCAACTGGAAAAGTTACCCAACTTGTTTACCAGACTGCGTTCAAGTCTGCTGAACATAAAAAGGAATAATCAAGTAAAGGATGACCAAGAGAAATGCTCCACCAGTAGCTGCTTATTATGGACTAAATTAAATCTTAAAACTGGCAGCAGTGTTCAAAAGAGATCCCTATATTGATATAATGTGATATAATGTTGCTTACACAACACTGTCCTACAAACCTACCTTCTTTTACTTGGTTTTGCAGTTATGTATTTGTATTTGCATTCAGACTTCTTCAGTAAATACATTCATTAGATAGTGTAAAATGTTAAAGAATGCTCTGTAGAGGCTCATGGGAAAGAGTTTTTTTTCGCATCTGCACTACAGAGAAGAACTTACAGAATGAACTATAAAACCAATCTCCTTGAAAAACAACCCTCAGTCCCATGGCAGCTGTTAGCATTTACACTTTCAAGCAAAAAACAGGGATACCAGAAATATATTTCATGAATTACACTGATTAGACCATAGATAATTACATAGAACATGTGGCTGTATTTTTGAGCTTATTAACTTTTCAAGTCATTTTACACAAGGAATATGAAACATTCTGAAAAGTTTGGTGTAGTTTGTTTTTCCTGTTCTGAAGAAAGTTGCAAAACTTCTGCCCCTGGATTTAGTGGACACCGGGGAATATGATTGGCTTGTTACGTGAATAATTGCTCCCCTTCCTGTCAACTATTGTCATCCTCAGTTGCCCTAATTTCTTACCAGAGATTTGGGGCGGCTCGTTCGGACAAAGGACTGACAGATGGACCAGTGTTGTGCATTGCTTCTTTAAAGTCCACTCTATCCCACTGCTTGTTATGCTACATATACTGGAAAGCATTCAAGTGGGCTTTTGATTGCACTTTCCTATAAAACCATACAGAGCTTCTTAAAAATAGGTGATCGTTCCCCAAGGCCTCTGTGAATTCAGAGCGATGCCCACAGTGCAGCAAATTTAATCTCCTCACCTTTATAGAGGGTGAGTCTCTTTGAGCTCTGCAACAGTGAAATAGTTTCTATGCTCGGTCAATATTTAGTCTCCAATGAAAGAGGAAAATCATTTAAAACATTTTTCCTGGCACTAATTCTTTCAATTTAATTCAAATGGGTCGTACTGGAGGACGGGTCAGAGCAGTTAGTAACAGGGAACAATTCATCATTGATGCAGATGAGTTTCTCACAGTTGGCTGACACTGGCAACCTGATAACTAATCGGCAACGCCCGACTTCCCCATTGCATGATTTGGTTTTGGTTGTCAAATATGTAAATGAATGTGTGTGAGTGTGGAAAATGGAAAAGTTATCATTGAAAGGATAGAGATAGGGGAATTCAAATGGAGCTTGCATGCACATGCATTTTGTATTTCTTACTCTAACCCTCAATTATGAGCTTTCACATAAACTTAATCAATATTCTGGTGCTAAAGTCCTTCCTAAAGTGAGGTTTCAGAGAACAGTCACTTCCCCAAACGATCACCAGAACACTTTTGCACAAAAGAAAAGCTTCAGATAAAAGTGCACAACAAAGCAAAACACACAAAAACAAATCGGCATCAGTTCCACTCCAGCCTTAATGATTCTCCAGTGATTGTTTGTCTAACTGTCTCCTCCGTCAGTGCAAGTACGGAGCTGAGCGGCCTCTATTGCTCATGCAAATCCAGACTCTGTTGAACAGTGTATAATTGTTCTCTGGGTTCACTATGTTCCTCTTTGCCAGGCGGCACATAAGCTGTGGCTAGCAGAGAGAAAAAAACATGCAGACGTGCCGTACTGTCCTCAGGCAGCACCTGAGTCCCCAACACAACACCCACTGCACACATCCCACGCCCAAACTAAGCCTTAATCCGTCTCGGCACACTCACCGTGCGGCCTCACCACGTTTCGCGGTGTTCTAAACCTCCCCCACTTTCCCCTTCAGCACCTGTCACAAGGCTGGGCTCAAATTACCTCCCTTCCTACCCTGCACGGAACACGAAGCCAGGCTGTTCAATTAAGACTCTCAGTCTCAATCCCTGGCAAAAACAGTTGTTTGCTTTATTTTCCCAGTCCCTTAATTAGTGCCATTAATGTTGTTGATGTAATTTGAAGTTTTAATTTAGGCAAGAATAATTCTGTGGACATATAAAGTTATGTTTTTCCAATTGAGAAGGCTGCACAATGGATTTTTGTGAGTAAAGCCTAATTTAGAACCCCTAAGTGTTAATGATCTGGTTTTATAAAAAGCCTTTCTCATCTTGATATTCACTCAATGTCCTTTACAGTTCAATTTTGTGCCATATTCATACACATATTTATACAATGAATCTATGTGCAGCATCGTCTCTATCACACACTGCTCTCACACAGCTCTCATAGCCATGCAGGCAGAAATGTTGTGGTTCAGTCAGCATGCAGGATGGAGTAGACAGGGATCAAAATGCTGACCCTGGTGGATGACCCGCTCTGCCTCCTGACCCAAATGTGCTCATAATAAATATATATTCCATCTTCATGTGGGCACGTCTGTCATGACACTGTGTCAAACTTTTCTTCACTCACTGATATGTATATACATATATATATATATATAGATAACTAGATCAAAACTGACCATTTCCCCCCTCTTAGTTGTTTCCTTGAGCAGAGAGGTGGCGATTACTCAATCGATAAATGGAGGAGTGTCTGACTTCTTCCTCCATACCCCTCCACTTTAATTAACTCATCAGTCACAGGGCCAACAAGCAATCCAATTTGTTGCCCCTAAAGTGACTTGTGTGGCTGCTTCTGCGGTGCTCATCCTTCCCGACAGGAGGTTAGAATCCCGCCTTCTACCAGTATTTCTCTGATGGTTGTTGCATAGCTGTACAGAGAACCTAATTATTCAGGAGCAGCAAATCTGTCACTCTTCAAATCCCACTGTCTCTCCCCTGGAAGTAAACACAGACAAATGTGTTGACTGACAAGCTCATTACTAGATTGTGTCAATAGCAGTTTTGACTTGGTACTGTGACAAGGTAGAAGGTCACATTTGCCTTTGCAGTTATAACAGTGTTTGTCCACTGAGGAGGATATTCTGTACTTGTGCACATGCATTACCCCCCAAACTGTCTCAATTCATTTTTCCAATTGGCGACAAGGCGGTGGCAGTGAACCCCCATGGGGATTTGAACCAGTGACCTTCCCTTTCCCTCGCCCATTTCCCTAACCATTACACCATGCTGCTGCAGACCCCTAATGGAGCGTAACAGCGAGTCTATACTTTGCGATTAGGTACACAGCAGAGTGAGGGTGTCCCTAGGCCCATCAATCACACACAGCCCTGTAGAGGCAATGAGGGAAATGGGTTCAGAGAAAGCCGGTGGAGTGGACAGATTTTTGGACATGTGGATGGATGGCTGATGGTGATTTGGAGAAAAAAGCCGTTCAGTGTCAAAGTCTGGTGCAGGGGCTCTGCTTTAAATACGCAGAACATCTCCAGCATGAGCCTTTAATTTCATTTCATTTTGACTACATGAATAAAATAAACTCATCCCTGGAGTTTGTGTTATTGGGTAAAAAGCCCAAGGTGA